CATGACTGGCTGTACGTTTTGATTCGGCAAAATTCTTGCTACTGGAAATTCAGAACTTTTTTGAGGGTACCGGTAGCGTCAAAGGTACCGGTAAAGACTGATTCGCTCTGGTCTAACGTGTCCATATATTTGTGCGTAGCTCTCTTGTTTCAGAATAGTATTCTTTCATTTTAGTAATCCTAATAGTAATCTCGAATCAAACGTGAGTGACGATGAGCACAATTAGAATTATTACGACAAGACACTTTGAATGCAATTTAAATGAAGAATGTTGCGTAGAAATTTCCAATTCCAATTTTGAACCCCTCCCTCTTAAGAATCCTGGCTGTGCTCCTGCTTATAAATAATGTCATTTTTTAATTCCATATTTCGAGGCTATATTGTTGTCCAATTTTATCAAAGCTGTTATTGCTTCTTTGAACAGTTACAAAATTAGCCAAGTCAGTATTTTGAAAAGTAACCGAATAGCTCGCGGAGCCCCTGGGTTTCTCTCGCGGAGCCCTGGGGCTCCGTACGGAGCACTTTGAGAACCTATGAGTTAGCCCCTTGTTACTGCAACCAACAAAACGGAAGTGTAATATGTTACGATTTTACTGTACACTTCAAACGAAAAACTCCAATATTAACGTAGATATCGCAGTGCGACGCGACTACTGAATCTAGAAAGACTTTTTCACAGTTTAATACCAATGTCAATTTTTTTTTTTCAGGACGTTGGCAAGATTAGCAGCTGACACGTAGACGATGCTACGTAGATGCGTGAGTGTGAAATTATGTCACACACATAAAACTATAATTCGAATAAGATTATGACAAAGGTAATGGATCAACATTATACTCGATGTACACAAAAAAAATAACTACAAAACTACAACTACAAAAAATCCTATACTATACTGTATTTTTCTATTTAGGCTACGTAGGTTTGAAAAACAACATTCTTTTTGCAGCCAGTAAGAGATATTTTATGATAATAAAAGTGTAACGGCACTGGCCGAAGATGAAAGGCATTTGTTGCTATAACGCAGCGGTTCCCAACCTTTCTACCCTGGCGGACCGGTAAAATTAGATTAAATGTACTCGCGGACCGGCAAAAATTGAAATGGGCGTAACAGAAAAGAATAACATATATTTGCGTATTATAATGCAATGTCGGGCACTCAATATGCTTCTAGACAAAAAAGCACACTTTAAAACATTTCACACGAAGAATAGCTATCAAATAATGTGCCGACCAAAAATTACAAATGAGTGAAACATAAAATAATACCATATATTTGCGTAATGAAATGCAGTGCTGGGCACCCATTATGCGTGAGAAAGGCACGCATTAAATTCTCACATTAAAATAATGCACAATTAACTTCTGTGAAAATTTTGCTGCTGTTTCGTTTCCAATACAAGATTGCGAACGAGGCAAAGAAGTTTTTGCAACACGTAGCTCTGCAGCCGCGTGCAGCCGATTTTCTTGCCTCGTTTTAATCAAAGTGAGGTTTTAATTGAATCGAGTGATGAGAATGTTTTTTCGCATAACGCAGTAACTGGCTGAAAAGACGGACCACAGTTTGATTGCTCGATTACTTGGCGGTGGGTATTCGTTATCAAGAGATATCTAAAATTGTGATAAGTAATTCTTTTTCAATCTGAACTGTAAAGAAGAATCACAATTTTAATCAAGCCTTTTCTTTTTCATTGGGTTCATAATATTAATCCCTCTGCAGTTAATCGACGCCTCAAACGGAATGAATTTGCATTACAATGACAAAGTCGTCGATAACTTGGCGACAAGCTCAAAATCCTACTGTGTCTGGAAAAGATCTCTGCGGCTCATGCTTTTTTTGCGTGTATCGCGTGACCACCTGTGGGGTCGCAACAAGTTCATATCTTACTGGATTAATATACTGTTCTTGACTGTTTTCTAGTTTAAACAAGGAGATATCCATTACGTTTCATATGAATGGTCATATTAATCAGGAAAAGCACGCAGAACAGAAAAGGCACGCGTGCCGATTTTTAGGCTTCTTAATTTTGCAAGATTTGATGGAGCGCATTCGCGATGAATCGGAGCTGGAAAAGCGAAAAGTGTGAGTGATCGGCGCCAAGATGTCGCGTAATACGGCGCCAACATGTCGCGAAAGACGTCGTAATATGACGGCAGAAGAGAACTGCGTAATGAGCCAACGCAACTTTGTCTACGGTAAAGCGATTGAAACGGCATAAAAACAACAAGACAACAAAATTTCTTGCGGACCGGCAAAAAAGCTTCGCGGACCGGCACCGGTCCGCGGACCGGCGGTTGGGAACCACTGCTATAACGCATGCCTCCGCCTAGTACATTGATCAGCCATGATAAGTTATTACCAATCTTATATTTCAATTATTTACCATGTGTCCTTTATCAAAAGGGGGGAGTCCTTCGGCATATCTTTTATCAATACATTATGTTCATTTCTGCAAATTTTTGGGAAATCTTTATCTATATAATACATCATCACTTCAGTAATACGAGTGCAAAGTTCGAATATATCTGCATGGGGGTCAAATGTCAAGAAAGTGTCACACGAATAATAATGAAACAACAATAATTTGTTCAAAATATTGGATTCCGTAGCAATCAGAAAAATAAGTAGTAGCCAACGAATTACTTCAATTTTTAAGTACTGAATAGTAGTTGTGGTAAAATGCAAAATTTGGACAACAGACAATTTAGCAAAAATAATCACATTTCATATGATGATATGATGAAGTTATATTCAAATATGTTATCAAATACTGTGCATAACATGATAGAAAGAGAAGTGAGGGAAAAATATAACTAGCAAATTTGTTAATACCCAACCTATATGTGTGTGTGTGTTTCAAATACATGCCAACTCGACTTTTTAGTAAATGACAGGCGCTTAGGATGAGTCACATAACCTTACTAGTGTAATAAAACGAGCAACACGTATCCTGAACATCATCAATGGTGTAATAACAAATAATCCCTGCCAAAATATGACTCTTAACTGTCGACCGGGCTACAAGGAAATATGTATTGTTTTGGACAGCAATTATCAACGTATGTTAGTACCTATGAATAGGTGCAATGAGTGTAATATTACGTTATTTTAAGTGCGGACACAGGTCGACATCTTGAACCAGCTATCTGACATATGCAGACGGTAGTCAGTTTAGAGTTGATTAGTTTAGAGTTGATTAGTGAGTGACGTGCATGATAGTGCTTCGAAGAAACCGGTTGAAAGATAGCGATTTCAACTAAAATTAATGAAAGAGAATGGAGGTGAAAAACTGCAGATATGTCATTTTTCCAATTTTGACTTCTCTTTATCAATTATCTTTTGAAGTGTAGTAATGGCCGTGTCAGGTTTTTATAGCTCATTTATCGGTATACAGTTAATTATTTCGTAGGAGTACAGAAGATGTCGACGAGCGCCGAACGCGTTAGCTTCGAAATAATGTTTTGAATCATTGCACATATGCAGGGTTTCTCAAAAGTAAGTGTACACTTTTAATTTTGATTTGCTTTCCAGGTACTCATCATGGAGTGATAATTTCTTCAGAAAACATAGTATGCATGAAAAGTAAAATTTATGTATTGTTTACATTTTTCTTCAATCCACAAAATGACAAGGAGATTAACCCAAGATATGAGATGCAAAATTGCTGTTTGGTAAATTGGAATTAATTCGGCCCCTAAGTGACAAACAATTTATGTAATTCATCGTAAATTTATGAACTGGATCTGTAGTTGATGCACAAAGATCAGGAAGACCAAGGAGCGGACGCTCTGAGGAAAACATTCAGAGCCGAATTAACTACAAATGCTCTGTTAAAGAGGCCCTGAGTTTGCCTTACTGATTCATATGCTTTTTGCCAAACAGCAATTCTGCACCTTATTTCTTGATTTAATCTCCTTGTCATTCTGTGGGTTGTCGAATAATGCAAACAATATCTAAACTTTACTTCTTATCCATGCTATGTTTCCTGAATAAATGAACGATCTATGATGAGTACCTCAAAAAAAATTCTAAATTAACAGTGTATACTTACTTTTGAGACACCAATTATATTAAGATAGACATATATACATATTATCTCTCTTTCGAATGCTGCTTTTGATGTGAATATTTTCACATATTCTTGTAGTAACAGGCACATGATACCTCACTATAAAAGAGAACACCCTGAAACCATTTTCAACGATTACCAACATTACAACTGACTACCATTCTAGACTTGGCGCCATGGGCGGCAATAACAACTTTGAAATAATCTCCTGTATTTTAGAATTAGAATTTATTTCTAATATAAATCGATACGAGATTTTGAATTCATTCAAAATCATTGATTCACTAAAAAAAGAAGATATAAGCTGTATTTGTGAATTTGTATGAAAATATTTGAATGCAGAAAAAATGAACGCGTTTGGAACACCATTTCTCTGTATCATTATGTCAGTAATACTTGGAGTCTCAAACGCACAAAGTAAGATAATTTTCAACATAATAATGCCATTGCACGTTGAAATAGATATGTCTTCTTAACGTCTTATGTAACGGGCGTGGCAAAATAGTGATAGTTTGATCCTATAGTGATATTGATCAACAGCGGAAGAGATAACATAAATATTTTACAGCTGTGGAGTGAACGAACATTGATTTTTTGGGCTAGGCAAAGTAATTTTCTTATACAAAATTATTACGCAAAAACTGCGATTCTGCGAGTTTTTACCGATTCCATCGGTAAATCTTGTTATTATTTCACTATTCTTGAGTAACATCATTAACAATCCGAGCACCTAGTATTCTTTTCATGACATTGTTGCCAACTGTTATTACTAATTGTTCTTGAATTATTTCTATACAGCTCCATGGGCAACAAAATGTGTGGATGAGTATGAACTGACTTTTTTCAACGATACCCGGAAGAATTGCGAAGGAGCAAAAGATCCCTGTGAATCACGGGGGGGTTACTTGGCAAAAGTTGATAATCAAAGAATGACTTATGTCATCAATGCCACTTTTAAGTGAGAATACTTGCTAAATTGAGCACATTTCATGCGTAGCATATGACACACGAGGCAATTAAACTATACTGAGTGCTTTTTGAGTCTTTGTTGGAATTAGATATTAGGTTACACAAAAGTAGTTAGGGATTTACTAAATTTTTGTCTACGTTAAATTTCGTATATTTTAGAATAAATGGCGGTCATAACACCTTTTACATCGGAGGCAACGACAAAGCTAGAGAAGGAGATTGGAAATGGCAGGATGGTACCAATGTGACAATGAGAGGGGAAGAGGGATATCAAAACTGGTTTGTTTTTCAATTCACGGAGATAAAAACTTTATATTTAGATACGTACAGTGTACGATAAATAGTTCAGAGTCACTTTCACGCCATGCAATATTTGTTATTCTCAATATTGTAGGAAAGATGATCAACTGAAAAGTGCGATTTAGAGCAATGGCACTATTTTCCGCCGTGGATAAATATTTTCTCGAGATTCATTAGTGAAACCTGATGCCAGATAATGGAACATGAATACTAGTCCATCGAGGTTGTAGTTACTACCAATTGAATGAACTATGCCAAGCAATGAAATTTTCAATCTCTCCATATTCAGTATTTTTATACGTCTATTTAGAGACTTTGTGCTCCTTACGGCAATATTATTTATATTGGGTAATTGGAATTGGCTTAATTTTTAGATTTAAGCGAATTATTAATAATAACAGTAATAAGTAATAACATTGATCATCTAACGACATTTGAATTTATCAGGAAATTTAATCAACCAAACGGTAATACTCTAAATAATACGGATGATGAAGACTGTTTGGCAGTTGGCAGGGAAACGTATGAGTGGGTTGACGTGAAATGCGATGAAAATTTCTACTACATTTGCCAAAAAAGTAATCAAATATTCAATTACTGCATCATCGTTTGTTACATTTACTGTAAATCATTTTGCACAAATAACAACGCGTGATCCTATTTTGTACAATTGCGATATTCACACGACGTAAATATCCTATAGGAATTTTGAATGGTCTACTACTGATATTTATTTGTCAGCAAAAAACCTAATTGTATATTGATGTTTTTTGTAATAAAAACGATTACTATATTTGCCAGAATAGTAATATTTCGTATATGCCTACGGTTTTTGGTTGAATAGTTGCAAACAATATGACATTCAATTTCATGTACGTAGTGTTATAAAAATCACATAACTCTAATAAGGCATTTTACAAAGCCTGTCAAGTTTGACACGTCTTCAAGTATCAGTCAGTCTCAGACGCTACTTTCGTCTGGGCATCAAACCCTCTAAAAATGGCAGTGTAACCTTAGTTACACTATTGAAGAGTATAACGAAAGTGATTATGAATCTTTATATATTGATAGTTTGAAACACTAATTTCGTTTTCACAAATTCTCATCTTGACTCGCCAAAATAGATGCATCATTTGAAAATATCAAACATCACGATTACTATCAAATCGCCAATTTGCAGAAGATAGGTGGATTACTAGGACCATTCCGGAATAATATGAAAGGCCACACTGAATTCCAACACGGGCCGTGGAATTAAAAATTTGAACGTTCCGAATGCATAGTACAATTTTTGACCCACAAGAATCGGTTTCGCAACTTTTAATTCATTAAAAAAAATCTTGCCTCTTGCGAAATTTAGATTCTCCAACGATATGTGTAGAATTGTGAGACTACACAAATTTCCATTAGATATATTAACTAAAGGGGTCGTTTTAGGCGTTGGGATCTCGACTGACATAAAATTTAGAAGAAATCGAGAGAACTGAAAAAGAATAATACTTATGTTATATGTGTACACGAGATATAAAAATGACACAATATACGGAAGCATTTTTGCGATTCCACTTTCTTTGTGCATTATCTATATTACTCAGTTATTCAATACACAATAATTTTGTGACAAAATCCTAGTTTATTAAAGCAAAATATGTTATCATCATTCTACAGAAATCAGCATCGAAATCAAGAACGGCTCTTCAGAACAAAGTAAAATTTGCCGAACAAAGAATTGCGAAGACACAACTGTTCAATGGTATAGGGAATCTCATGGTGAACTAGTAACAACTGGTTTCAAAGAAAAGGAAATTTATCAAATCATAAATGGAAATTCCTCCACACTATACCTTGGCAGTGCGAACATTTCGAATATAGGGAGATACTTCTGTCGTGTTCATAACTCGGGCGTTCAAAAACATTTTGACTTCGAAGGTAATTAATACTTCCTTTTTTAATATTATATTGACATTATGAAATTTGAGATTTGAATTGTTGAGTTATTTCACAAATGTTTGTGGTTCCCTTACAGTAAATGGTAATCCAACAATCACATCGATTACAAATTCACTGTGTAACCAGAGTTTGTTCGTTACTTGGAATCCAAGCAAATATGCAGTTGGTTTTCAACACAAGTAAGTATTCCCATATAAATTTCTTAACTAATTTACTTTATAAATATAAAAAAATCATAATATTTGCGTATTATCCAGAAGACGCCTTTTATGGCTTTCGCATAACGGCAAAAGCGTACGTCTATATGTCCGTAGTGCACTGACTTATTACGAGAAAAGTGTCTGGGAAAGTGTTTGCTACCAATATATATATTCATATTTCGTTTCAGAATTATAGCAAATGATTCTAATACTAAAGAAAGCTTCTCAACATTCATTACCCCAAAATCAAACACATCAGTGACCAGTGAGATTTTGGGATTAAAAGCAACTACTGAATATAATGTAACGGTGAGTCGTTGTTATGGTGATGGCAATGTTCTTCGCCAAAAACACAATTATTCTAGATTTCATGTATACACATATAAACAGGAAGGACAACGAGGCGCCATTCGAAGTGAAATGTTTGCATCACGCAACAGAGTGATGATATTTCGCATTTGCAGCATTGCTATTAAAGCTGTTTTCCAGAGATAAATACAAACACAGCGTGCATGTGGGAAACTTTGCAAGCTCCCGAGTATTATGAGAAGTCATTTTTTAAAATACTACTGTTTAATAATTTAATGCGTAAATGTATATTATGTAAAAGATCGTAGTTTGCGTCTCAAAAGATGAATGCGGCTCTGCATATTCAGAAAACGCAACTGCAACAACAGATGGAAAAACCGAACCTGTGACATCTGCATCTCTATCGGCCAACTGCTCTATGCAATGGATTTGGAAAAATAATAACCAACCAGAAAACGTTACAGGTTTAAAAGTAAGTGAAGTGAAGTGAAGTAAATATTAAACAATACCGGAAGAACTACTTAAAAGATTGTTAAATTTCCTTAACATAATATGGACATTGTTTAATTTAAGTAATTTTCAACGCTGGTGAATTTGGCCTGAGATACACAAGTATATACTGATTGAGTCCCTTAACAATAATCAGAAGCGTGTCAACGGTCAAATTAAATAGAGTTGAAATGAGTTCAAATCATAATAAAGTAGAAATAGCCGAAACTCCAATATTTTTTATCCTTTCAATCCTGAGTTCCAATGCCATAGACTTTCTCACATGAAAACTTAAGTTATATGAGCAATTGGTTTAGAGCCACGAGAAATTCGAAAACAAAGCGGTTTCATACTGACTGGAAGCCTCGGCAATGACTCGGCTACAAAGATTCACTTGTTAGTGATGCTCAGAGTCAGAATACCGTAGTTAAATATCTACCTATTTTCCAGGTCACAAGATATTGCACTACAATTGCCACAAGATCGAACGTAAAGTCTCACCATAAAGACTCATTCAACATATCATTGCAGCAATCTTTTACTCCGGTACCCAACCGAAACTGCACAGTATCAATGCAGATTATTGGATGTGCGGGACTGAGCGAAGCAGTAAATTCAGCCGGATATTGTGTTGGAAAAACTGCAGGTTTTGTGTATAACTTATCAATGGTGCCCAATATTTCTGAAACAAATAGGAGTAACTCACTCAAAAATTACGTATCAATGCAGTTAAAAGTAATCAAATCATGGACGAATATGGGAAATTTCAGACACAGGTGGCAAAAACTCATTCAAAAATTATACTTGCGCAACAATGCAGTTACTAGTAATCTACTCATAAACAAATATGGGGCATAGAAGCAGTGGCATCAATTTATACCACGGTAATTAAATTTGCGTTCTCAAAGACAATTCTTCGTTATTTATTTATATCAATAAAGGTACTATTCGACTACTAGTCTTCAGACCCTTCAATCTGGGTGGCAAGAGATGGTAGACCTGCAGTACATGTCTTTTTGTTTATCCCTGTTTATACCAGAAGCTAACTATGAGCTGTATAAATCTACTTCATATTACCTTTTCAAGGGATTAAACTCAATGCCAATTATTTATGAACATGAAACTTGATTTATCTCTTGAAGTTCACTTTGCGATCGAACAGGGGAGCAAAAAATTTTGTTTATAGAAGTTTTACGACAAATTCAAACCATATGTGGTCGAGCTATTGATCAATGTTTGATCTGGTAATGGTAATTTTATGCGGCAACCGAGCTGTAAAGAAAGATCAATTTGAAAGGTCAATGTTATTACGCCGCAGTTCAAAATGTCAGTTCAAATAACATTTTTTTCTCACAAACTGCCGCGGGACAGCTCCCACTTCGATATGTTTTTTACTATAAAGAAAACACCCATAATTAGAGTCATAATAATACCAGGTTTTGCATATTACTATTGAAACATTATTTATCAGAATTCGAAAAAATATACAAATTTGGTTTTGTAACGCCAAAGTTGACATGCGTAAACGTCACCACTGGCCAGATCTCCCCAAACGAATCAAAATGCCCGTAGAAATAAAAGCATATGTTCGTTGTACCACTTTGTGTAGATCTGCCAATATCGTGTCTATTGTATTATACAACATACCTTTTTAATCTTTTTATTTTTATAATTCAAGTAACTCCAAAAGCGGAAACAGTCGAAAATCATATGCACTGTCAATGTCAAAACTAGACTATTTTGTAGCAGCGTATTTGGTATTATATTTGCGTATTATATTTGTGAATAATACTTGAATTGTACATATATATATATTAGATATATAATTTGATCTTGTGAAAAATTTTCGAATTCTTTCTCCAACAGCTCCGAATGAAATTGCAAAACCAGTTGTTTCTGATGACGCCATCGACAGTGACGGGATTCGCAAAATAACCGTGACTAAACCTGATGAAAGCAACGGTTTGCTGAGGTTTTGTATTGTAAGAATACAACTACTACATGACACTATACAAGAAAATTAGTGCAAAGAAATATAGCTCTAATTCATTCTAACACTCTATTCATGGCACTTTGTACGACGCCGTTGAAACTAACAAATCTTGCGCATTTTCTCTACTATTTTAAGTTAGTAGCATCCACTTATTATAGCACACGAAGGCGGGTTTTGTCACAACTAATGGACCAAGCAGTTACAAATATATATATTATTGCTACGCCATACATAGTTTTAACCAAATTTCAATGCTTTTTTTTTTTAATTGTGAAGACAACTTGAATGGCATGCAGTAAAATATTTTACCATTTGGCTGGAATTTTGCTGGCATTGCAGTGATAATTTAATCATTTGACCTTTGTGTCAGTATAATATTGCATTGCTTCCTTGTTTATTTTGTAAATATTTTCATTACTTTCAGCTGTTTATTCATCATCGTAAAAGATGGATCATATGAACGGAATATCAATTTCAGCATGGAGAATTTGATCAAGGCGCAGAGCTCAACCACTGAATACATCGCAGTCGCGCTTCCAGTTTTCAAGTACGCCGTAAGAATATCGTAACGTGATTACATTCATCAGAATACACCCAATGAAATTGCCGTCTGACCACGTCACCGCGTGGTGAAATAAAGTGCAGTGTTTTGATATAATTTCCGACCTTTCAAAATTCAAATTGTTATAAAAACAAAAAATAGAAGGTATTTAAATATTTCAAATAAAATTAGTTTGACATGCTAATTTCACTTTCCGCTAATCAATGATTTTGCTCTTTTTAAGAAAATTTTTTCCCAGTATAACTTGTGTAGCGTCGATCCAAATTCTTTCTACAGCAGACATTCCCATCGAATCATTACCTCGCGCTGCAAAAACGAACATTTATTTTTCTTTTCTTTTTTAAATTACACATACACCTTTATTGCAGATTTGAAAAAGTCATCAATCTTGGCGATGAATTAGAATCTTTTTGTAGCGTTACCCAAACAATCGACATCGTATCCAAAAAAAGAAGGCGGCTGAGAAGTGTCTCGGAAAATACATCGATTGCAGGAAAAAATCGGAAACTTGACAAAGAAAAAACTTACAGGTAAGTTAGTTATTTGCCGACAACACAAATTCCAAAAATATCAATTTCGCTTCGAGAATGTGTGTGAGAAATCGGCCACCGAAAACACAATATTTACATAATCTAATAATGCTTCTTCTAGGACTACTTTTTGAAGAATAAAGTTTCCCCCTTTCACCCTTTTTTTCAAGTGGCAACTGAAAATACAGGTGTACAAACTACCTTGCGTAATGCTTCCTTTTTTCTACAGTGTGTTTGTTGTCTCAACAACGCCTTGTGGAAATGATATCTGCATGCAAACGAGTCCGCCAACACCATTTAGTGAGTATAGTTCCTCCAATAATAGCATTCAGCAGATCGCCAATTTAAGTTAGATTCTATCTCAGCCACGGTAGAATTGCGAATTAGTACATGAGCAGGTATGTCGGATACACTGCCATATTTAGGTAATTCGAGTCAAACAGCTGAATTAAATACCTAGCGGTGAATGAAAGTATTTTTTTTTGTTCTTCAGGAAATGCTAATGCTTTTCAATCTTGGATAATTGCAGTAATAGTAGCTGGAGCTTGCTTGTTGATAGCTCTGCTGATTATGGTTGTAGTGATAAAACGACGGTGAGTTCTTATTCACAATATGAAGCTACAAACAAGTATTCAGTAACTGATAAAAATGCTTGTCTGAATTGTTTCAGATTATTGTTATAGAAACCACTTATATAGGAATAATATTTTTTATTATTATAAAATATTTTCCAGAGCATAAACAATAACCATCCGTATATTTGCGTATTCAAAATTTAAAAGAAGAAAAAATACTTCAATAGTTAACTTCAAATTTATATAATTATAATTAAATACTGTTATTTTAGCAAAGCGAAAAGTATATCAAAGCAAATCGATTCGGTGGACGAAGTTATCCCAACAAAGACCGGACTCAGCTTCGTGAGTATTGTAAAACTTTGCCGATATTGCCACATTTATTGGATACGAAATATGAAATTGTTTTGTTATTATGTTGTTGTTCTCATTTTTCTTTTGTTAGGAAAAATCTTCCGTTTTTATTTTGCGACCTCGTGTTAAGCGAAAGTCAGAGTTTATATGATATCGGTAATGCACGATAGGTATGGTTGGTTCGTTTTCGCCTTCGTGTTCATATATTTGAGCATCGAGCATTCACAATCATTTTGTTGGTGGAAGATGAAAAAGATATTAACTACTAAAGTGTATGAATTAGCTAATATATATATATTATTTGCTGTAGGAAGTTTCAAAATGAAGAGGCAACAACTGGTGGTTATGCTGAAGTGGGTTTACTGCAACAAACGAAAATACTTCATCAACCTCGTAAGGATTTGTCTTGATTTACAAAGACGCCAAAGTTTGGCAAAACTAATAACGACAACCAAAAGGATGAAGTTTATAATTTCATCCCCTGCTTCCCTTGAAGGCTCAACCATTTAGCAACTTCAACTACCCCAACTATCTACAGACAAAATATAACATTAATTTTATAATTTTGGGGTTCAATGTGGTGATTCCAACCTTTTATTTTACGCCAAATGAATTTCACTATGGAGTTCAACCACCCCGCCTCCCTACAAAACAATTTCATCCACTTCTCATTTTTAGCGTTCAGACTTTTAGTGTTTTAAATTTTCATTTTGGGGAACAATGCAACTTCCGCTTTTCTTCCACTGGCAGTCACACATATTTTATTTTGCAACAGGAATTTTCAAAATGAAGAAGAATCAACTGATGGTTATACTAAAATGGCCTTCGCTGGGACAGCAAAAAATGTCACAACCACCAGTAAGTTTTTGATTGATTTATATAATCTTTCGTGAGATGCAACAAAGTATTAAATACTTAACAGAAACCAGTTGTAATTCCTTTATTCAATTAAGGATCTTCAATAACCAAAAGGTTATTTTGCAATTTTCAAACCCCAAGATTTCCATGCGTTACCCTAAATTCAATTTTCAGAAAAGTGTAAATTAAATAATTTTAGGCCTGAGTATTTGTCATTTTCATAAATCAAATTCAAAAATACAAACCCAACCCGAACACGGCCGAAGGCCGCACCAAGGACGCAAATAAATGCAGAGGAAGGTGGGTTGACAATTACTAATATCTCAGAATATCAGAGTACAGTAAATATGAATATATAAATGATCATATTAATCACTATATCCCAAGCATAAAATATGAACAAGGATTTGAATTCAATATCACGAATACGTGGCGGAGGCATATAATCCAGCATAGTTCAGATAAATAAAAATAATTAAAATCACAATTCAACAATTGTTTACAGATTTGGGTCCCTACATCAACATAACGGCAAAATTCAAATTTTCAAAATCCTCCGATACCGCTATCAGCACTTCTGATTTAGAAGAAGTTTACAATTCAATGAGAAAAAAAGAAAACTCACAGTTTTTGGATCAATTTCAGGTAATAATTTCCCCCGCGCTTCGATATCCAGTCGTGGTAGTCTAGTTCAGTATCCTATATATCGATACCGGTAACAAGGTCACGTAACAAACATTAACTATAAAAAATAGCATATGACGTAACAATGCAAAATTAATGTAATATTGGGCTATTTGGATAGCTAACTGATAGTCTATGTCTCTATGATGCTATGACTTAAGCCTTGTTAAACGCTCACTTTAACCTACCTGAACAATTCTATATACTCAGATATGATTTAATAAGCGAAATATCATGAAAACAGTCCGCTATACCAGGGTAAATACCGAAAATTACGGCACGGTTTATATTAGCGAATGAGTAACGTTACCGGTTACATATGCTCTATAGCGCCTGGAACTTTTTTGGGTACCCCCGAAGTATGTGAACCAAGATGGCGGACACCGGGACGTAGTATGTGTACCCGGTTGAGGTTAGGAAATAATTTTATTCCAATTTTTCTTATTTCAGTTCTATTACGAGTTCGAGGACTAGCCAAGTGACTCCCGTAGTATTTGTACCTAAAATTATGGCCTAAACTTAATCTAGTACACATACTACCTTCCGGTGTCCGCCGTTACCGTGACAGGCTGTAGGGGTAGGGTATACCCGTACGATTTCGTGTCCATGTATTTGAGCATCGCTCTCATGTTTTGTTCATTCCCATCGAATGTGTTTGTCAACAGTCTCGAAATGTTCACCGTCAGGAGTTTAGATATCTGAATACCTTAGATTGGTATACATTTCTTCCCTGTGTATTGAAATCATTTGTATTTTGATTTGCGTTTCAGAAAATTCTTTCGGAAGCTGCCAAACTAGGAGAGCCAAAAAAATTTGCTTCCAATCCTGATCTAAAAAAAAAGAACAGATACAAGAATATTCTTCCATGTGAGTTGTATACTGTAAATTGTTTTCCACAATAGTATTTCGTCACATCATTGTGATTATAGACAACGACATATTTCACTAGGCAAACTCATGCGTGGCATTAGTGAAAGTGATTCTTTGTGCAATTTGACCTTAATGTTGAAATCTCAATAACCTTCACGCCTTGTAATGGCGATTTTATTAGTCAAACCTAGAAGACTTCGATCCGACGGTCATAGAAAGATTGAGAATAACACAATGGAAATACAAAAGTTCATTTAAATTTGATCGGACATCCGGCATGTATGTTTCTCATTCAGTAATAAAGTATATTGAAAAAAATCTACAATCTAAAACTACAATAAGAAATTTCGAGTGGTCGGGGTTAAAGAATAAAAAAGCTCAGCATCCTATTTTTGACATCTTAACGAGATTTCAATGATTGTGATGATTTTCAATGACTCAGTTGTGAATTTCCTTTTTTTCAGTTGATGAAACTAGAGTGAAAATATCACCAGAAGGTTCGGGATATATCAACGCCTGCTATATTGATGTAAGTATAAAACAAACCGCTATGATTTATTACCTTACGTACGCGTTATAAGCCTTTACCATACTTTCAAAAAACACTCGTATCACTGCTAAGTGATAAATGAATATGCCAAATGTTAATGTATGATGGAACAACTAAAAATATAGTGATACTATACTTGGTAAACTAATATATATGACTTGAAACACATCAAATTAAATCATTTATCAAATGAATCATACTTACATTAGGTTATATCTCGGAAATTATATTGTCGACTTTTGCGTCGTTTCGTATTATTTCTTATTCTGCAAAACTGCAATCAGATAAAGGTTACTGGAAATTGAAGAAAATTCTCATCGCAAAAATATTTGAATCTGACCTCTTAAATTGGATGTTCAATTTTATTCTAAAGGGTCACAACAAGCGACGTAAATACATCGCAACTCAGGGACCTCTTGCAACAACTGTAAATGATTTTTGGCAGATGATAATCGAACATAAATGCTATTTGATCGTGATGTTAACGAAGGAAAAAGAGGCTGGGAAGGTAATTTGACTTCAACTGTATTTCTGAACCAAAATTCTGACAAAAGACGTCTATATCAAAATTCTATGACAAACGATTCCATGCCAAAGTGGGTAATGGGCAATATGTAAATCCTAAACTGTTCACCAGTGTGTTATTCAGTGATAGATATTGTAATTCCCAAATATCCTAAAACAATTCAATTATCCATAGAATTATGCAACATATGGATAAGATAGAGCATTACAAAAATGCTTGGCGCAAGAAAAATATATTGAACACAATTAAATTCTATTTGTAGAAAAAATGTGAAAAATATTGGCCCGATGAGAACAAAAACCAGGAGTTTGGTTCCGTGCTCGTGGAAAATGTACACGAAGTCAACTACGGCTCGTTTATAAAGCGAAGTTTTACTGTGAAGTCTCGTAATAAGGTAAGAAAAAGGCGCGTCAGTCAGTCAGTCAATCGCTTATTTGGTATCACAGAAGCATGTGTACTAGAGTCGATATAAAAATAAATATATTATTATGGCTATTTGTAGAACAGGAGTCGCGAGGAACTTCATGAGGTTTTCGAGCAGCGACACCTATAACGTCGTTACTGGTTTAGCGTGAAAAGTTACTGCATATGTTATGTAATAGGGCATGATGGTAAACACATTTTGAGAATAACACATAAATTATCGATGAAATTCAAAGCAAAGGCAATTATGTCTAATTTATCATTTAAAATACGAGTAAACATATGAAGAAAAATTATTTTGCATATCCATAAGTTCAGTGTAAAATATCACTCGTACGGCACAATGTATGTAGTATCTGTAACCACCTATCATAATTAAGCGCAATAACCGATGATATTAAGTTTACATGGGTATATAAGCACTGTTTCTTCAATTTTTATGAAAGATTTTCAGCCGGTTTTGATGAATCTTTCAATTTTGCTGCTGCTTAACGTTGAAATTATTTTCATCACACAATGTACCCTCCCCTAAGCACTGATCTGACGTCACGTGGAGGAGGTAGAATTATTATCTTGACCGCAATTTAACTGGCACATGACCCGTGTTGCGTTGGCGTATGGCCACGACCTAAAATAAAATGTAAATAGGTCGCTGACCTATACATTCAGGATCAAATGCTTTATTTTAGGGTCTTGATGTCACGTTAAATGTATACCAGTACCAATTCTTGAAATGGCCTGACCATGGTGCACCGGCAACCACTTCAGATTTATTGCGAATGCATCGGGCTGTGATGGAAAACTATGAGGAAATCGGAAAGGGATCTCCAATTGTAGTCCATTGCAGGTATTACAACGCACAGCCTGTAAATCGTTATAAGTTTATTTGAAATTATCAATTTTAGAACTATGTGCAAACCTCATTTCTCTGAAATGCCGAACACCCAACTCTGTTGAACCTCTCAAGATCATCTTAGACATTGGTATTGCTTTTCTGTAGACGTACAGATTTGTAGAACTTATATGAAGATAAATAAAATTTTATGATATGCTCCGTCGGCGTTATATCGACGCATTCTATTCGATATTGTTCTAGTGAATTTTTCGTGGGTAGAATCCGCGAGTTACATGAATATCAGGTTCTTAAATTTCTACTTTGGCATAAGGATGGTAAACAGACAAAAATAGAATCTATCAAAAATGTATGATCTACGACAAACAAATTATCGCGAAATATTTCAACACCTTCGTTTTCTTGGCTCTCTAGCGCCGGTGCAGGACGAACGGGGACATTGATTGGTTTTGATATTCTGCTTGATGAAAGCAAGTCTGTAGGATCTATTGACGCCTTTGCTTGCGTTCTCAACATGAGGAAACAGAGAGTGGAGATGGTGCAAAATTTGGTGAGCTATATCTTATATTTTTGCCCATACCGTGATATTCATTATTTGGCAACTGCACCCTGAAATGAATCAGATGTTCAACAAGAGAGCAATGCTCAAATATATGGACACGAGGGACAAAACAAAGTAGTATAAAATCCTTTACAGTACCGGTATTCTGACCACCATATCACTGAGATGTGATCACGGAACCAAGGCACGTTGTTCATTTTTTTAATATTGATGACGTCATCACACAAAACTTCGAAGTGAAAAACGAATCCCAAAGATCCCACAAATTTTTTTTTCGAAATAAACAAAATTAATAGCGTTCCAGCGACAACAACAATCTTTTAATTACTAAATATTTCAAAGCAATTGGTCAAGTAGTTGAAGAGAAAAGCGATTTTTAACAACGACAACAACAACACAACGAGAATATCGGTCAGAGACCGAAGACTTATCGATCGAAAGTTAGGGGATCCCCAAAACAGCGCTCTTACTCCATAGTGACACCTTGTGTCCAATTACTAATTAATTAGTAACTCGCTAATTATACGACATAATTCATCCAAAATCAATAGGCTTCTGGTCCGACATATAATGAATGCACATGCAAAATCTGGAGCAGATTCAATCTCGCTTTCGCGTGCATCTAACAGACAGACAGACAGACAAACATACCTATCAACATACTTACCAATTAAAATCGATAAGTAATACCCAAACGATTCATAGGTCCAATTTCTGTCCAATAATATTAATATTTATTTAGGATCAATACGTTCTCGTTCACAAGCTCGTATTGGAAGCCATCTTGTTTGAAGGCAGAGATTTATCTTCTGATGAAGCAAAAGCTAAATTGGAAAAGATAAAGTATGAAAAATTTCCTTTTATATATTCGGTCTTGGTAAATGACTCTCCACCAAGGCTTTACGGTTTTCCTACACAGATTTGCTCGCGTATACGTATTGGTGAGGGCATGGTTCAGTATTGAAGTTGTATTTTTAAATGCCCAGTCAGTCTGTACAGTAGTAGGGTCGAAGTAAAGTGATTTTTTTTGTAACGTTGTCGGATGGTGGTACCAAAATTACATATGCAAAAATTACTAGAAGTACTTAGGGCACTAAACTACACTAGATCCTGGTAGTGCAGATCACTGTATTTTCCGTTCCTTTTTCCAGCTTAACTTGGAAATTTACACTTATCGCTAATATCAATTATCACAATAACAAGTGTCGAATAAATTTAAATTCCAGGACTCCTGATGGCGAAGCTTCAATAAAGAAAGAATTTGAAGATTTAAATCGAATTGGACCAATGAAAGACTCAAAATTGCGTGGGCTCGATGGTAAAAATAAGAAAATGAACAGATCAAAGAAATCTATTCCATGTAGGTTTTGTAAACTTTATATTCCCAATTAAACATTCTTTTATGTATATAACTAGAAAAGCCAATTTTTGTTGACCACATTTGCCTGCTTGACATATTTATACAGATTGGGAAAGTCTTTAAAATGCTCAAGAAAGGCTTCAATAGACTGTCATTACTGGTCAAAATTAATAAACGTTTGAAATACCCAACTTTTCAAATTATTTTATTGTCCTGCCGATACAGCGCCGCGAACCTTCAGGGTGATGTAAATGATTGCTATGTAAATCAAACTTTACTAAATCAACTTGTCTTTAATCCCCCCTATTTCTAGACGACTACACACTGGTAACAATATTCATGCAACAAGATGAAGATGAGATTCCTTATATGAATGCTTCGTGGGTAGAGGTACATTTAAAATTGACACTATTTATTCAACTTATTCAACTCCATACTCTTGAGGCCTATATATAAAAAAAAAAACATGTAATTGAACAATGCCATTGTCTAAAGAATTATTGAACTTCACGCTTCAGGATTCAAATCTATTTGAAGTTATTAAAAATCATTTCATTGCCAATGTCTTATTTGGTCCCAAACAAAAACTACTTGGAAGAAATATACTGTATACCTTTTTTAGAGTAATGATGAATCAAGTCCAATGATCGCCTCTCAAGGTCCAACTTCATCAAACATTGATTTATTCTGGAGATTGGTTCTGGATAACAACGTTAATACAATCGTTATGTTGACGAAACTCAAAGAAGAGAAAGAGGTTAGAAATATAAAATATAAATCAGACTGCCAACTAACGCAAGATCTTGTTCATGTTTATTCACTTCAAACCAAATTCTGCAATGGTGTTTCGCTGAACTGACTTATTGCTTATTAATAATTTCAGGAACAATGTTCTCAGTATTGGCCTACAAATGTTGGTGAAGTTATGAAATGGAATAACTTATCTGTAACTAGGATTAGTGATGAAACAGAAGCTCCCGTAACGGAGAGAAAAATTCGAGTGGAGAGAGGACCTCAATCAGTGAGTCATTGCTATCATTTCTATAGGAATTTCGATATAAAAACAAATGCTGTAGGTTGCAATAATTAACTATTCTGGCATCGCGGGTTGACCGGTCGCAAGTTTCAACCCATATGCCGGTTCCAACCTCACAATGAACTGGTTAGAAATTGAAAAAACGTAGAATTCCTGTGTTTATAAAAAAACATATAAGTAGCTCGTTTGGAGCGAAGTTGTAATAGAGTCCAGGGGTCGGCAACCTTTTGTCGCTCGCGGGCCAAAATAAGGGTTGCAAGCAGTGTTCCCTCTAAGGTGTCCGCGTGTGCGCGCGCACACAGATTTCAGAGGCTGCGAACACGCATAGATTTACTACGCACAGACGTATTTCGATGTAATGTAACAATGTGCTCGGTTGGCAGGTTGAGAAAGTTTGTTGTTGGCCCACGCATTACCCGGTTAGAACGCCAAAATTTCTTCATTGGTTTTTGCACAAATATTAGTCATTTCCAAAAATGTGCGCACACACCAAAATTTCTGCGCACACATACTACAAAAAATTAGAGGGAACATTGGTTGCAAGTCATTGGCGGGCCGCACATATTTTTAGAAAGTTGAAAACCGAACGGATGATACTTTATATAATAAAAATGAACCAGTGATACATCTCTCAAATAGAATATAATTATTTTCTCATTGCATTGCATTTTCGGCGCCATTGAACCCTTTGCACCTATAGCATCAGCTTTCTGCGTTTTATTGCCATTTGTCTATTTATAGGCTCATTAAACGAGTAATTGTGAATTTTATACTTGTTAGATTATAATATAATTTAGTCTGCACGCGTCTCACAACGAATTGTGTAACGTGAAAAATATAATCATCAAAACAGCTGTTTTGTTGCTATAATTCAGTAAAGCGTCGCGGACCGGATTAAGTTACTCCGCGGGCTGGAACCGGCCCGCGGGCCGTAGGTCGTCGACCCCTGTAATAGACACCCTAGAAAAAGTAGGTAATGATGCTAGTCTATCTACTGTACTTGCTATGCCATTTTTGATTAGCACAATTTGTAAGGTATCATACTGCGTTCAGTGACCGAATATAAAGCAAACAAATTTCTGAACATTTTCTCATTTATTCAGAAAACAGTGACTCAGTTCCATTACATTGGATGGAAATCAACAAGTTGCCCTGAAGATGGAAGAGAAATAATTGATCTGGTAAATAGGATGCAGAAAAATATCCGATCAACTGGAAATGGAGTCACTCTCATACATTGCAGGTATTTATCGCCATCAGTACTTTGGTGAGAATTAGATTTATGTCCCAACGATTTGTAGCCGTGTACTTTGTTTTAGTCCAAATCTAATATGGCAAAAAAAAAATAATGAATATCACATTGTTTCTCAATATCTTCTATTTCAGTGATGGTATCGGTCGAACTGGTGTGTTCTGTGCAACAGTGAATCTGATAGATCGATTGAAATGCGAGAATCGAGTTGATGTTTTCAGAACCGTGAAAGATCTCAGAGATGGAAGACCAAATATGGTGGAAAATTTGGTAAGAATAGTCACTTCATTTTTTCTTTTTATTTCTTGTGTCATGGAGGTCGCCCAACTTATTCATCACAGTAACGTGACAAATCATCAACCTCGGTAATCTAATTATGTTATTGCGGAATGATTTTACAAATTTAGCATATAAATGTGGTATTCACGTGAGTGAGTATGTAACGTAAAATAAGGTAATATATATACAGCCATCGCATATACAGTCAAAGTGATATTCGTATACAACTAACCTAATATACACATACAGCCATTCAAGTTATGTGCATGCAAAAGTAATCGATTAAGTATGCATTTAGCGTTGCCTATTGTTTTATTTAATGTAAGCGGAATAGCACATCCATACACCAACAAAATACATCTATAATAGTATCATTCACGTGATGCTTCGCTTATTCGACAACAGATAACGCTCTGATTTCAAAAACACGGTCATACATGCATTTATAATTATTTGGTTGCATATGTATAAGTGTAAATGGCTGCATATGTACGTGATTTTAATTTATAATTGGCCGTATATATACGTAAATAGATTATACATGTATATTTTGGCAGTATTTATAATTATTGTATCAACCCTATCGGTTTAATTTAATTTTTGAGATTGTGGAGAATTGTTTCAGAAAATGATTCATTAAAGGATCGTTTCGAAAAGGCCTATTTGTAGTACATAATGACACCGTAATGGCAGTGGTGTAAAAGTGAATCGCTTTGGCTAAAAAAATTTAAACATTTTAGCATCGCGGGTTCGCGAACAGTGAATGATTAATTGGTGAGTTAATGCGACACAAGAATCTCGTTCAGAGCAAGAACATACAACACCTGAAAAAAAAACATTCTAAGTGGGAGTGCGGTTTGTCCATATATCTCACAATTTAATAAATTTGTTGAAAGTATATCTTTAAAGTGCCCACGAAAGTTCCTAACGTTAACAATTTTAACAGCGTAAAACTATTAGCCAATTGTATTCACTACGTATCACTGCTTTGGTTTCTAAAACACAATTATAATTTATTTCAGGATCAATACAAGTTCTGCTATCAAGCTATCGTGGAATATCTGAAATCATTCGAGCTTTATTCAAACTTCTAACTTTTTATTACGACATAAAACGTTTATTTCCATTATTCTCTCCTATCGTTCATTCATGATGAACGAATTTTAAACAAAAATTTGAGTGTCTTCTATGTTTTCTTTCCCTTTTGTGATTTATTTATTATAACAGAATAAGAATCATAACGTCGATAGTTATTAAATCATATCTGTTCTGTACTTGTTCTTCACTGTATCGTATATTTATATTATTTATGTATTATCCATACGTACGTTTATATGAAGTAGTTTAAGCAATCCTGTAGTGATACAATTCAATATTTGCGTTTCAAAGTACAATGGTTGGCTGATTTCACAAAAATCAGAGACTTTCATAATATCTTCACAAAACAATTTGCTCAAGATCTTTAATGTGGAAACAGCAGTAGAGTTTAAGACTGATTGACACACATGCACAATCAGTCATGCAACAGAAATGTCAATGAATAGCTGTACTCGCCAAACTTCATAATTCACATTAACTAATAAACAAAAACTCAGTTTTCATATATTTTCTAAACATTGAATATATTTTTAGAACACGCTTCAGGTTATTTTATAGTAAAATTAGGGTATGATATTGAAACGTAAAATCGTTGAGTCTGGGTGTTAAAATTTAATAAATGCAAAATGAATAGTAATCGTTTTATTATGATTTGTTCCATGTTTGAATTATTATAAAATTGTCTGGGTAAATAACTGTTTCATGCATATTCTATTCAAAAGATGATTATAATAAAAGCACAAAGAAACGTATGTCTCGTTGTAATGGTGTATTTTCCCTACCTGTGATGGTACTAACATGCCTAGTGTGTACAAATTGCCATCTATGCCTGCTGTTGGTGATTTTTGGTGAGACGAGAACAAAATTTTCGTGCCGTCATTGTTCGGATAAGAAATTAATGCTCAAATATATGGACATGAAAGCCCAAACGAAGTAGTCTACCCGCCATTTTCTCAAAACCTTATCCACACGGAGCTATAACTATGATCAGCTACCGGTAACTGGGTCTAGTGTAGTATAGTATCACAAGAACTTCTAGTGGGCGTGGCGTAACAATTTATGAACATGTCATTCCTGACCCAAAACTGACTGCGCCATCCAAAAATTACATCCCTGCTACGTCATAATAACAAAACGATCCATAAGTCCATTTACGTGTCCAATAATTTAAAGCAACCTGTTGCGCATTCTTGGTCAACTTCGACCTGTACCCTCGTGCAGTACGTCTGGAAAGCCAGCATTGGAATTGATTGACTGTTTTTTTGTTTTTTTTTTCAAAGTCAAAGACCGGAAAAATTTGTTAATCGATCATTCAAATCAAAATTAAAAAACAAGCCCCATCACTGAAGCATTTCACATCAGTACCGGTAAAGTCTTATCTGAGAATTGGTTTGCCAAAAAGATGGCGCACTATAGATTGGTCGAATGACAACGTGGTGGCGCAGTATATGCGCAAATGGAATAATTTGGGGTGAAATATCGAGTTGAGGCTCAAAAAAACATCGACTCTCTTCTAGCGACTTTCTTCATCTTCAAGTACTAAAAGTTTGAAATCGATTGGTCCACTTGTTGTGGAGAAAAAAGCTTAACAACAATAATAACATTAGGAATAGACAATTTCGTGGTGAAATATCGAGTCCACTTGAGGTGGAGAAAATCGTAACAGCAATCAAGCAAATATATACTCAGGCACACTTCGTACTCGTGAAACATGCGTATATGAAGGGCTAAATTACCGTTTGACGTGTCCAAATAAAACTTTGTTTAAAAGATATCTACGGTTGAAATATCTTACGTGACACTGACGACATAACTGGTGAAAGAGTTCGGCGTGATCGGTGTTGGTCTAAAACAGACATGACCAAAATTGTTTGTTACCGTCCCCATAATGCTCTCGTTCTTTTTGTTCAGCTCACGCATTCTCACGTGTAATTTAGTCTATCGTTCCCCGATATTTTCTAGTAATCTGTTTCTGCATCCCTTTACTACACCCTAATTCGCGAATATTGATAGCAAATTTATTAAAGAATAATTTGTGTCCACATTTTTCCACTTCAGCATTACATGGCTTCCAACCTAGGTGGGCAAAATTTTTGGCCCCTGGTCCAAAAACCTTGGCCACCCCTGATTTTAAAAACTTCGCAAAAGTCACTTTATAGCGCGACAAGTATGGCAAAATTTTTCAGTTATTAACGCAATGCTAGTAGACTCAATTTTTCGAAGAAACTGGCAAAAAAGAGAAAAATAAGGCAATGCAAATCTTTTAGTATAGGCTTTGAAACATATTGGTATCATGATTCTTCAACGCAATAATAACCTTTTTTAGTGTAACCAATTGAACGAAAGTTTGTTGATTATGTTAGAATTTTCATGTACACTTCAAATGACGAACACCAATCTTAACGTAGATATCAACGGGCGAGAATCTAGACCTGGCGGCTATAGGTAAAAACAGCTGCCAATTTTTTTCCACGAATTTGGCCAGATTCAGCAGCTGATGCATAGAAGATGCTACGTAGTTGCGTGAGTATAAATTATGTCACACATATAAATCTAAATTTCGAATGAGATTATGACAAAAATTAAAAACGATCTGCTGAACTACAAAAGAAAATCATTTACTATACTGTATTTACGTATGTAACCTAGTCATACCCTAAAAACGACATTGACTTTGCAGCCAGTGAGAGATTTATCAGAATATCAAAAATGTGATGGTACTGGCAGAAGATGATACCTTTGATGCCATAACGCATACCCCCGCCTTGTGCATTAGCCACCGTGATAGGTTATCGCCAATTTCATATTTCTATTATTTCCCTTTTTTCCTCTATTAAAAGGGGAAGCCCCTCGGCATACCTTTCATTAAACATTATTTCATGTTCGTTTCTTCAGCAAAGATGTTCACGTGAATCATAATGAAACAAAAATAATTTGTTTGAAATATTAGATCCCATAGGAATCAAAAAAAATAAGTAGTAGCCTTCTACCTTTTTTCAATTTTTAAGTACTGAATATCAGTCCTTGTGGTGAAAGGCAATATTTCGACAACAGACAATTCAGCAACGCTATTCATATTTCATCATATGATATAATAAAACCCTATTTGTTTATGTTTACAAATACTGTACAGATCATAATAGAAAGACAAGTGAGGTAAAGTATAACAAGCAAATTTGTTAATACTCAACCTATGTTTCTGTGTGTTCCAAATACATGCCAACTCGACGTTTTATTACGGGACAGACGCTCAGACTAAGACACATAGCTTAACCTTACTAGTGTAAAGTATAGAACGAGCAACATTGTTTTGCCAGTTCTTAGTAATTCTGCCTACGTATCCTGAACATCATCAATGACATGCGTAATAACAAATAATCCCTGCCAAAATATGACTTTTAACTGTCAACCAAGCTACAAGGAAATATGTATTGTTTTGGACAGCAATTATCAACGTATGTTAGTACCAATGAATAGGTGCCCTGAGTTTATTGTTACGTTAATTTGCGGGGAGGCACAGTTCGACATTTTGAACCAGCTTTCTGGCATATGCAAACGGTAACAGGCAGTAGTGACGTGCGTGATAGTGCTTCGAAGCAACCGGTTAATAGCGATTCCAGCTAAAATTAATGAAAGTGAATGGAGGTGACAAACTGCAGATAGGTCATTTTTTAAATTTCGACATCACTCTATCAATTATCTTTTGAATTGTAATCATGGCCGAGCAGATGCAGCAGATGCCAACGAGCAGCGAACGCGTAAGCTTCGAAAAAAATGTTTTAAATCAGTTCACATATATATTTAAAAAGACATATAAATAAATATATTATCTTCTTTCCGAATGCTGCTTTTAATGTGAATATTTTCACATATTCTTGTAGAAACAGGCGTACGAAAGCTTTCTATAAAAGAGACCACCCTGAAACCATTTTCATTGTCTCGTATTTCAGAGAGTTCGGCCTTCAAAATTGTTTCTGGTTGATCTATATTTATGCATTTGAATAAATGCAGGGAAAATGAACGCGTTTGGAATATTATTACTCTGTATCATTACGTCAATAATACTTGGAGTTTCAAACGCACAAAGTAAGATATTGTTTTTCAATATGGTAATGATATTGCACGTTTAAATAGATATGTTCTCTTTAACGTCTTACGTAACGCTCAAAATATATATAGTTTGATCCTATAATAATATTGGTTAACAGCGGAAGAAAGAGAGCAACATATTGCTTCACAAATGTGAAATAAAATGACATTGATTTTTTGCGCTAAACAAATTAAACTTATTTATAAAAAAAATTATTACACGAAAATTGCGATTCTGCAGGTTTTTACCGATTTTATGGGTAAATCTCATTATTATCTCACCATTTTTAAGTAACATCACTAGCGTTTTTGGGCTTTTAAAAATGCATGGCCGTTCGACTAGTATTTTTTTAATTAGGGTGTTGCGTACTGGTATTCTCGAATTGTTTCTATATAGTTCTATGGACAACAAAATGTGTGGATTCGTACGAACTGACTTTTTTCAATGATACCCGGAAGAATTACCAAGAAGCAAAAGCTACCTGTGAGTCACTGGGAGGATACTTGGCAAAAGTTGATAATCAAAGAATGACTTATGTCATCAATGCAACTTTCGAGTGAGTTTATAAATATAGTATTGAGTTCAAGTCAAACCCAATAACTTAAATTTTAAATTAAATTGGTCACAAAATAATTTTGCTGCTCCAAAACAAGGCAATTCTCCTAGCATTCAGCCTAGTTCGAGACATGTCGCTTAGATGAGTCGAGTCACCTCAAATTTACGAAAATGACGAGCCTCCCCAATCCTGAGTATATATTTTTGTAAACATATTACATGCCTAATCATCAGGCAATTTACTACTGATTGGTTAGATGTTGTTTGCTGGTGCAAAACTCTACTTGCAGGAATTACATATAGGTAATATAAATTGTTACAGAATACTTCTTTTGTAAAATTTATCTTTGTTATGCAAGTACTAAATTTTAGAGTGAAAGGTAAAATCAATTCTTACTTGATCGGCGGAAACGACATAGCTAACGAAAACGATTGGAAATGGCAGGATGGTACTGATGTGATAATGAGGGGAGAAGTGGGATATCAAAACTGGTCAGTTCTAATATAATAAATTATTGATCGTTTTTTGTTTTTTATTCTTTTCATACTTTCTAATATGTGAATATAATTATACACAAACATTTCTTGGTGTTGTCTGCTTCAATTTTATTCTATATTATTCAGTAACTGCAAACTGATACTACATGAAATCTGATAATGAGAATATAAATTTATTCATACATTTATTAAAGGAAATCTAATCAGCCGAACAATGACCAAGGAAGCGAAGATTGCTTGTTGATCGGAAGAGAAACTTACTTATGGATTGACGGCAGCTGTAACGACAAATTATATTACATTTGTCAATCAGGTTATTTTTCATATTTTTGTTGAATTTACACTCAAAGTTACAAAGCCATGTGTGAAAAACTAGAAAATTCATTTTCCTAATAAACACTGCAATGGGTATTTCTATACATACATTTGTACCCACACAAGAACCAATGCTGATTTTTTTGCAAATCTAACAAATTAATACACGGTTTCTGTTAAAAATACGAAGCCTTTCTGTTATTTTAAAAAACGATAGACCACTGCATGTAGCTTTGTTTCACGCACCAAAATGTCCTAGTGTCACCGGCAAGACGTTTACTTTTACTACTAAGCGTATGAACGTGATACAGGATGTACACAAGTTTGTATGAGACAACGAATACATCGTTGCAACAAAACCTCTCTCATCGACAAAACTAAAACGACGATGTTATGATTTCGCACAAATGTCTTAATTAGAATTCTATAATGCAGAGCATTCAACACCGGAGATCGGCATTGATGATGGCCCGTCACGCCACGAAAAAATATGTCGAGTGGAGAATTGCGTGAATAAAACTGCAGAATGGTATAAGGAACCTTCTCATGAACTAGTTGAAACTACCTTCAAGAAAAATGGAATCTATCAGAAAATAGATGGAAGTTCATCTACGCTACACTTTGACGATGCAACAATTTTGGACACAGGGAGATACTTTTGTCGTGCTCATAATTCAAGCAAGAAATTTTTCGATTTCAAAGGTAATTGTTTATATTTCTTAACATTGAATTCAAAAACTTGAAGCCATTAATATTTGGTGATGTCCTATAATAAAATTTTTGTTTCAAATATTCGGAATTGCATCTGCGACAATAGGCTTGTAACCAGTTGATTCACAGCAAACTTTTTGCCACATAACAACATTTTACTAGTAACAGAGCTAGTCTGTACCGAATTGTATTTGTCAATAGTTGTAATACTACTGCAGGATTGATTACGCAGTCAATTTGAGTGGATAATTGGGTAACTAAAGTATATCAACCATTTCTAAAATTTGTGCTTTCTTTACAGTCAATGGTAATCCAACAATTACATCGATTACGAATTCATCATGTAACCGAAGTTTGTTAGTTACCTGGAATCCAAGCAAATATGCAGTTGGCTTTCGACACAAGTAAGTAGCCTACCTATCCAATATATTCTTCTTATTAAAAAGGTTTATTCCATAAATTTGGTTTAAAATTTATTTTGTTTTATTTAAAAATTTCAGAAAAGTTAATATTTTATTTTAAATTTCATTCATAATTTTTGACTTTTCTGTACCACGTCAAAGCGCATGTATATACAGGGTGGCCCAAAAGTAGGTATACAGTTATTAAACTATTTTATAGGCTTCGAAGCTACTTGCAGTTCACTTTATGTTACTTGGTAAGTACTACAAAAATTGCTTCTTTTTTTGGATAACAAATCTAGTGTGAATTTTACATTAGTTTTCTGGCTGCTTGGAAGGTAATAAAAAATAAATAAAATAACTCTATACCTACCTTTGGGCCACCCTGTTCATGTCCAAGGTATCCGTACTGATTAGGAAAGCGTGGATTTGTCTGGGCAAATGTTTGCTACCAGTACCGATATATATTCACATTTCGTTTCAGAATCACAGCAAATAATTCTAATACCAAAGAAGAAAGCTTCATATTCATTATCCCCAAATCAAACATGTCAGTGATCAGTGAGATTTCAGGATTGAAGCCAATTAATGAATATAATGTAACGGTGAGGCGATTTTGTGATACTGGTATTATTCTTCACCGAAACTCCTAATCGAGATCTCACGTCCATAAGGACCATAATATATACACAGGAAGTATATCGAGACGTTATTCCCGGCAAAATGTATATATCACTATACACAAGAGTAGCGTAGTAATATGACGCATTGTCAGAAACTTCGATCTGAAATTATGCCACCCGAATACTCCAAAGTGACTATGCATATATATACCCACACAAATATAATAAATGTAAAAATATGTGGAAAGCCACTTTTGGGACTCAAAGAGAATTCCGGTCTTCAATACTAATATATCCATGTATATTATATATCAGGTCGTAGTTTGTGTGCCAGACGATGAATGCAGCTCAACTTATTCAGCTACTGCAAATGCAACAACAAATGGAAAAACCGAACCTGTGACATCTGCATCTCTATCGATCCTATGTTCAATACAATGGACATGGAAATACAATAACAAACCAGTAAACATTGCAGGTTTAAAAGTAAGAGACAGGTTTGAAAATAGATAAATGAGGTTAAAACATATTAAACTAAAGTATATATGACCCAATCATATTTCTATTCCTCCCGTCTCTCAGAATTATAGTTTGAATGACTTCAGATGCCCCGAATAAAAAATAAACTGCAAATGCTCGGAATATCTTTCTCTGTTGAGTATTATCTATCAATTTTTCAGGTCACGAGATATTGCACTACAAATTCAACACGATCGAAGGTAAACTTTTTCTATATAGACTCATTCAACATATCGATACCGAGTACATTTACCCCGGTACCCAACAGAAACTGCACAGTATCAATAAAAGTTATCGGATGTGCGGGACTGAGCGAGGCAGTGAATGCAACAGGATATTGTGTTGGAAAACCAGCAGGTTTGAAATATCTTATCAGCTGTACGCAGGATTTCAAAAACAATTTTTCAAAAAAGATAACAATACCTGATTTGAAGTACATGAAGATAAGAGTCAAGACACAGTATCTCAATTTCTTTTTTACAGGCAATTTTCCCTACAAATTTATATTAGTAAATTCACTCTAACATTATTGTCTCAACACTATATGCTGTTTATTATCCTACCTTTCGCTGTTTATCATAATAGGGAATTGTACGTAAGATAAATGTGAAAAATGGGCCAATAACCTACATAGACATATTCAAAGAAAACCTATCAGAGAATCCGTGGTGCGGAAATAATAGGATATACCCAATAAACTTTATAATAAGCTCTTGTGTAAGAAATCATTCAATATGTTTATTACAACGTAGTGATATGTTTAAGATATATAATTTTGACACCGATTCGGAACTATATGTGCTCGTGCTATCAATCAATGTTTAGATATGGTAACGGTATACTTATTTAACTTCGATGGTTATTATTTCAACGCGACAGACCAATATTTTTACATCGTAATTTAATGTCAATTTATGAGTTATAATAATATTTTCTTCCATACAAGCCACAGTTATTGTTAAAAGGAAAACTCCTATACAGATCTGTTGTTTTTCATGAATAAAACCAGCAGAATGTTGGTCAGTATTGTAGCAAGTTCTGCGTATGACTATTTATAATCGTTACGAAGAAATAACCAAATATTAATCACAATCTACTAAAGAATTGAAATACTTGTAACAAATAAAATCTAATTTAGATACTATCATATTACAAAATGAGAAAATTAGATTGCTTAAAATTATTTGTATCACCTCATGAAAAACTAGTTTGCAAATTTTGATAAATTGATTTTACTGTCTATATATTTAAGCTTGAGTTTTTCAATTGTTTTTTCTACAGCACCGGATACTATAGCAAAACCAATCGCTTCTGATGACACCACCGACAGTAACGGAATGCGCAGAATAACCGTGACTAAACCTGATGAAAGCAATGGTTTACTGAGGTTTGTATTGTCAGAATATAACTACTATGTAGTAGTATACACTATAGCAGCGGTTCCCAAACTATGGGTCGCGACCCACTGGTGGGTCGCAAAGGGAATCTTAGTGGGTCGTGAAAAGATGTAGTAAGCTTTGGTTAATTATACTGGTGATTAGGATCGGTGGCAACTCGAATACGTAAATCTTAAAAATAAAAAAAATTAATTTGAATTTAAATTCTAATCTGTGAAAGTTTCCTTTTTACGATCTTCTCAAAAGAACCAAAATTTGCTACTCAAAGAATGACCATGTGGTTTTTTTTACGCATAGCAGTTTTGCACACTGTATAGCACTTCCTACCGTGTTTCCCCAAAATTTAGACAGGATTTAAATTTATTTTCTTCTGAAGAATAACACTATGTGTTTTTTTGGAAGAGGTCTTTTGCGTTCCTATATCGAAAATAAAATTACATTGTAGAAAATCACAAGATTTTTTACTAAATATTATATAAAAACCGACATCCATTGTTTTTAATTGTATTTCCTATACAAAAATCAAGTGACAAATATCATAATTGTGATTGTGACGTCACATAATCTTGAATAGTGGTATGATCTTCACCTTACCTCAGGACAATGAACCTTTCCTCTCCCACACATTTTAAAGTTAATTTTAAGGGTGGTCTTCAATTAAATCATTTTGAAAATTCAAATTATTAGCTTATTTTTAGGCCAGGTCTTATTTTCGAGGAAAGAGGGTAGTTTTGCGATGGTTAGCCATTGCTGTGTTCTGTGTTATGCCATAAAAAAAAAAAAATAATTAAATTAAATTAAAGTTAAGTGGGTCGCCATAAGCTGTGGTAATAAATAGTGGATACCGACTCTAAAAAGTTTGGGAACCACTGCACTATAGTATACTATAGTTAAAATAAAGGAATTCGGACCGACCTATGGATGGATTTGCTAAATTCAGATTGTTGTTGTTCTCTTGTCTTTTGAATGAACCAATTAACCCATTGTCGAAACATAATAAAGGCCGAACAAGTAATGAGGCTATTACTTTTAGTTTATTTTAATTTCATCTGAGTCATACGATGCCTCATAACGCAACGATTGACCTTTGTTACAATATTTTAACATTTGGTTGGTATTTTTCTGGCATTGCGGTTATGGATTTTTTCCCGAGGATCCATTTCTTTTCATTATTTCCGTAGCAATGGCCAATCAGCGATACGATAGCAATGGCGTAACCCATTTGTGCGCCGCTCCGACATCTCTTTCGCTCAGCCAGATAGATATATATATTCATTCATTCAATCATTGCTATGAAAATTTGCCTTTTTCGTTGTTTTGCGCGTTATAGTCAGTTTTCAGTTGTATTTCCAAAAAATAGTTGTAAATCAAATAATTCTTATTGCCGTTATGTCTTCAATTTAGTTGCAATAAAAAAATTGATCTAGCAAGCGCTGCGATAAACAAGCCTAATATTATCTATCAGTTCATGTAAGTGGCACTTGTTTTTTTTTGCCAAAAATGATAATTTTGAACATGTAAGCCAGTTTGTTTGCAATGGTACAGTATAGGGAGACTTTTAAGGCAGGGGTCGGCAACCTACGGCACTATAATCCGGCCCGCGACGCTCCACTAATTTATGTAACAAAACATCCGTTTTGACGAATATATTCTTTAGGCTAAATTATAATATAACCTAACATTATATATTTTCCAATTACTCGTTTAATGAGCATATAATTTAATTATAATAAAGCAAATAGCAACAAAAACGCAAGAAAAGTTGATGCTAAGTGCAAAGAGTTCAATGGCGCTGAAAATATTCAAATTGAATTTTATGAGATGCAATGAGGAAATAAATCTATATTCTATTCGAGAGATGTATCACTGCTTGATTTTTATTATAAAAAGTACCATCCGTTCGGTTTTTCAATTTTCTAAAAATATGTGCGGCCCGCCAATGACTTGCAACCTTAATTTTGCCCTACGAGCGACAAAAGGTTGCCGACCCCTGCTTTAAGGGGTCAAGGCTCAGGGAAACGTCCAGTATATTAGTCATTTGATCTTTGTGTCAGTATATGTTCATTCCATTTAGCTGTTTATTTATCATTGTAAATGATGGATCGTCTGGTGAAAACACAAATTTCAACATGGGGAATTTGATCAATGCACAGAGCTCACCACAGCATATATCGCCGTAGCGTTGCCAGTTTACAGGTACGCTGTAAAAGTAGCACAAGTAATTTTTATATGACTGTTTTTATATGATAGCCATGGAAAGTAATCAATAGGTTGATTGATTGAAATTTGCTGATGACTTATAATACCTTATACAGAGATATGGTTTGATCTCACAATTTTACATGTAACAGACCCCGTCTCTCTTAAATGATTACTTCTAACTTCTATCAACTTTTTTCTACTGTTCTACCATCATGGCAGATTTACTGGCGATAAACAAGTCGTCAATCTTGGCGATGGTTCGAAATCCTCTTGTAACGTCACTCAAACAATCGATGCCTTGTCCAAGAAGCGAAGGTGGCGGAGAAATGTCAGAGAGAACACAATATTTATTGGGCAAAATCGAAAACTGGGCAAAGAAAAATCTTACAAGTATGTTAGTTTTTAATAGACGATACAAGAGTCCAAAAATATTCATTTTAGGACAAGATGTGCATAACGAAAGCGCTGCTCTAAAAACTATTTTTATCTCGAACCGTATTTAATAAGGTTATTTCTCATAATGTTACCTCCCTTTCTGTAGTCTATTCGTCGTGTCAACAACGCCTTGTGGAAATGATATTTGCTTGCGGTCGAGTTCGTCAATACTATTGAGTGAGTTACCTTTAAAATTTCTCTTTTATTTTTAAAACATGGTCACAAACCCTTTACTAATGGTCGAAATAGTACAAATAGAATAGATTCCAGGAGACAACAGCAACAAATAAAATATATGTATATAGGTTTATCCTTTGCGTAAATAGTTTTCAACTGTTTACTTCTTTCAAAACAAACGGAAATTTGGAAAATACTCACTCAAATATAAGACTTCCAATAATATTTAGGAAATCTCCAATATATACATTAGTTTTTGTTAAGGTTATATAATTTTTTAGAAACAAAGAAATCGTTCGAGTTCAACATCGTCAGTTTCGTAATTGGTTTTCTTATTCCTTCGATCTTCTGCGTAGTCTTTGGCTTAATCATATACAAACAGATGAAAAAGATAAAGAAGTTGGAGAAAAATGCAGAAGCGAAAGAACATAATTACGAAACTATACAGGAAAAAGGTAGTGAGATCCGAAAATCTCAATTTCATACGTAAAATATTACTTAACTGATCAACTATTAAAATATTCTAAACATTCAACAAGTACATATGACATTCATCAGCTTTCTTTTATATTTGAACATGAATGTTAAGCAAACTTGGAAGAATCCGACAAATTGCCTTCTCATGAGTCATTCCCATCTCAGATTACTAAAATATGACAAGGATTGGTCTAGTATTTTTTGCATCGTGAAGTCATAGAAAATTTATATTTAGCAGTATTTTGTCATTTGCTCTTAAGTTAAGTGAAACCAAAGTGAAATCATAACTTTGAGATATATGTTCGTCAATATTTAAAATTAAATTGATATTTCTGCTATAGTTGTTGAACGAACTTTTTTTCAATTAATCAGCAACTTTCTCCAACGACCCAGTTTCTCAACCATCATATTCGAACGTGCTACAGGAAACCGCCGGTTACGAACAAGCTCTACCTGCGACAACTAAGCAAACACAAGTAGAATCAGCTTACGAAACTTACAACGCCTAATGAACTTCAGCTATGAAGTATCTACTCGAACATCATAAAATGGAAAAAAACATGTTGAATTTCCTAAAAAATTCAACAATCATGTTGGTGTCGATCGACATTCCTATGTTACACTCGGACCAAGAATTTATTGGTCTCTATTCACTTGCTCACTCAGAGTGTATTGAGCTCCTATATTATGCCGTAAACACGTGTTGTCTTACATTATTATAAATGACTTCTATAGTTCAGTTAATTCTGTACATTCCATTATACTGCAATAAAGAAAATCAATAAGCGTCAGTTTAATTTTCAGTTTACCAATTTTCTATTGATCGTTGTAACTTCTACCCCCAAAACTTATTTGTGTTTCATTGTTTTCCCGTATCTAATTGTATAAGTATAAGTTTATTTCGACTCCATAATCAGCAAAACAATAAAATGAATGCTAAAAATAAATAAATGAAAACTGATTATGAAATCAGAAGAGCGAACAAAACCTTAGATAAGGTTTAAAACGTACAGAATGTATATAAGATGGAAGGTTTTGCCAAGAAGATGTGGTACATGTTCACTCACCTAAAATAATTGAAATATTTCACACGCGCTCACACGCACCCACACACACAACCATATAGAAGTTATTAAGTAAAGGGAACATGGAAAATTACATACTGGTAGTTAATAAAAAATAAATAAATAAAAGTTACTTGCCACACCATCATAATAAATTTATGATTGCCACTGCCAAATTGATCAATTTTATAAATGGGAGTGAACAGTAAAGATAAACTTTTATAAAAAAAAATATATTGTCAAGCTGATTATAGATGGAGTCAAATGCCAAAATGCCAAACCAAAGTTGCCAGAATTGGATGCATGAAGAGGTGGGCTAGACCACTTCATTGCCCAAACTAGAGCCTATCATTGCCAAATTATAGTCCAGATTGTAATAAGTATTTAAATCTATCAGTAACTTCATAAGTATGAGTAATTATAATTAATTAAGGTAGAAAGACAGGGTATAGGAATATGTTGGTTGCTAAGGTTATAAGGTTTTTTTTTTTCATTCTTAGATATTGACTTCTGCAAGGATAAAGGAATTAGTATTGTTATTTCACAGGATCATTTCTTCATTATTTGTGGCGTAATAGATGTCAATTCAAGTTTATCGTGGATGAGACATCAGCCTGCGAATTTTGTTGTTGTAGACACCATTTATATTCAATAAACTAGCCATTGTATTGATCATCACGGAACGACCTGAAAAAGAGAAAATAAATCTGCGAGTAGGATATTCAAGGGTTACATATTTGGAAACAGCACTACCCTACACTTTTGTTTAGAATTAATTATTATTTCGAGTAGATATTGATTATTATTTATCTATCTTAAAACGCTAGTTCAAAGACCAGAGTTGAAATATGGTTGGGACACCGGGTGAATTCCTCGCAAACCATGCAGAAACTCTCAAACCACACTGACCATTCGTATGTTGGCCTTCACATTAACTTCACAGCAGAACCTCAACCTAGGATAAAATTTTGTATACACACAAAACAAATCATAGAATACCACAACAAATTAAAACGAAGGGGAGAATCCAATATATCTCCACTGGTCGCCTAATTACAATAATAGGTACAGGAGCTAAACTATACGGTCTACAACCCTCATAAGGTATCACACCACCCATATAGAAACAAAGACCATGCATGTGTAATGTCAAAAATCCAACATTAAGCAAAAAGGGAACATGCGCATGCAGATGTCAGAGTGTAAACAGCCATTTGAAAAATAAATAAATAAAATAATTTGCTGTGCATGCTACAGAACCCGACACACCAACATTAGATGTAGAACAGGTGGAGAGAGATTAACTGCCGGCTCAACAACAATCAGCAGCTGCAGGGGCAATAGCAATATTGTAGCTGTTTAATATTTTCATGAAAATAAGTATGTGCAAGTGAGAGTGTCCCAACTTTCTATCATGGTCATTCATGAAGGTTCAATATTTTTTGTGTCCGAGCTATCAAAACGTTGTAGCTAATTACATACGAAAGAGTATATATATCAGTGTGGTTATGGAAAATAACTTTTATATTTGGATACCAAGTACGACTTAACTTGTTTCTGAAATGATTTTTTGGATTTTAATGACTTCAAATTCAAGGGGAGAGAGTTCCATAGCTTAGGTCCATTATAGCATAGGGCATGCTGGCTCACAGATTTACTCATAAACGGTATAAATAAATTGGAATTACTTCTTCGATTGGAAGTGGTTTTGGTTAGTATGTCGTCAAAGCAGTTTGACAATGAATTGTCATGAAAATCATAAACTAATGATAATACTTCAGATTTCATTATGTCTTCAACCTTGAGTATTTATAGCCCTATGCTATAATGGACCTAAGATCGATTTAGTATAAAATGATTTACGCTTTCACGTTTACTTTTCCTAAAGACAATTCTTAAAAAATTATTACAAATGCTTTGCAATTTCGAGACAAGTGTTTTATTACCATGGAGCCAGACTGAGCTACAATATCGGATATGACTTAGTAGTAGAGATTGAAACATTGCTAGTAAAGCTGATTGATTAACGCACTGGGATACTTTGGCAGCAACTGCCAAGTTCCTTTTTGTTTTACCAATAACATGCGACATTTGTGATTTCCATGACAGATTTTCATCAAAGATAACTCCTAGAAATTTTATTTCTTTCACTCTTTCAATTTCATTGTCATTGAGCAGTAGTGGTTTTGAACAACTCACACTTTTATGCTTGCTTGGGTGGAATAATACAAATTTAGTTTTGTTAGCATTAAGAGATAATTTGTTAACCAACATCCAGCTATGAATGTTGGTTAGTTCTTGGTTTGCAACTGTGAGTAGATCTTCAAGGTTTTTCCCATGAAGAATCAAGTCAGTGTCATCAGCAAACATGATCGACTCAGAGGATTTCAGACACCTGGACATGTCATTAATGTAAGCTAGAAAAAATAATGGGCCAAGTAAAGATCCTTGTGGAACTCCGTGCTTCATGACACAAATATTTGTAGAGAATGAGTTGTCATATTGCACAATTTGTTTCCTGTCTTGCAGGTAGCTCCTGATCCAATTGAATGGGACGCCTCTAATTCCATAGTGATAGAGCTTACTTAAAGGATGGAATGGTCAATGGTGTCGAAAGCTTTTGAAATATCAAGAAATATTCCAATTGCATGTTGTTTGCTTTCAAAGGCCTTGGTCAGTTTGTGTACCAAAACATTAGCAGCCATAGCAGTGGAGTGATGCTTGCGGAAACCAAATTGATGAGAGTGGAAAACATTGTTAGTTTCAAAGAAGTTTGACATTCTACTATACATTATTTTTCTCAAGAATCTTAGAAAATGATGGTAAAAGACTAATAGGTCTATAATTTCCAAGATCTGAAACACTACCCTTTTTAAATAGAGGAAGAACTTTAGATGTCTTGAAGCTTTCAATGAATAATCCACTAGATAGTGAAAGATTAAATATATATGTCAGGATGTCAATGATATGTTCTGGAATGTTTCAATACTTTGAATGGAATACCATCAATTCCAAAACTTGACTTGGGCTTCATTTCGCGTATAATATTTTTTATTTCTAATGATGTAGTTGGCCTTAAAAACATGGATGAGGATTCTTGCTTCCAAGATATGAAATGTAATTTTTGTCACAGCCAGCTGGTTGTGGCATACAGTCGAGCAGGTTTGTGCCACTTGGGAAAAGTGTTCATTAAATTTATTTGCAATTTGTGTATTACTGCAATCGAGTCCAATCAAAGGACAAGAACCTGTTTTATTTTTACCAATAAGTTCATTAATTGTTTTCCACACTGCCTTGATGTTACCTTTGTGAGAGGCAAATTTAGATTTGTAATAATTTGATTTTTTTTGTAGAGCAATCGAGTATAAAGGTTCCTGCATTCATTGAACTGTAATTTGTGCTTGTCATTTATGTTTTTATTGTTTATTAATTTCTTATAAAGTTTTTGTTTGACTTTGTTAGTTTACGTAACTCAGTATCATACCAAGGTTTGTTTGATCTGTTTGTTTGTTTTTTGTAAGGAAAAGATTGAGAGTAAGCAGTAGAGAATTTTTCAAAAAATTTTCAAAGCAAGTGTTGGGATCCTGGATGCTGCTGAAGTCATCAATATCAATAGAATTCAGTTCGTTCATAAAAGTATTCAAGTTGGACGAAGTAAACTGGCGGTAAAGCGTTTCAATTCTGTTCTGAATTTGCTTTTCTAGAAGAGAGCATTGTACAATTGGCAGATGATCAGAAACACATTCTGCTAAAACAGCACTATTAATTTTTTATCATATACGTTTGTCCAATGTGGTCTATACAGGTAGCAGAACTTGAAGTTATCCTGGTGGGGCAGTTTATCAGAGAATAATAGGCCAGGTTGTGCATAATATCAACAAATAGGCTGGTATTCATATTGGACTCATCAATAAGATTATAGTTGAAGTCACCCATTATATAATTATAATTCAACTTGTTCATCTTTGAGAGAACTTGGGACAAGAGATTCCGAAAGTTAGCATTGTTCAATTCATCAGTTAGTGGTGATCTATAAATAGTACCGCAGGTTATTGTTTTATTTTCCAATAATATGTCAATAAATATAGATTCGAAAACCTTTTCACACATTATAGTAATATCCTTGCGGACAATGTATTTCAAATCATTTCGAATGTAGAGACCAACACCACCACCTCGGTGATGAGATCTACTATTAGTGATAAAAACATAGCCATCCAATGTATTGAAATGGCCATTTGTACCAGATACAATCCATGTTTCATTTACAGCAATTACATGAGGCTTACAATTCAGTGAATTCACTAGTGCTTCAAATTTTGTGTAGTTTTTGAAAGAGTCATGAAACCACTTAGTTTAAAACTATCATTGAATTTGAGGTCATTGACATCACTAGAGCAAATATACTGATTTGAGCTGTTGTACAAAAACACTGTTTATGTTGTTGAATTCATCATTGTCAGTATTGGCTGACTCAAGAAACATTTGGTTTAGGTATTCAGGATCAAGAATTTTAGTAAGTGCCTGGGCTTCAGCTTTTTCTGAATGAAGGGAAGTACATGATTCTAATAATTCAGAATCAGAGAGAGAAGAGAATGGT